TTTCCTGAAGTGTTGGTGAGCATTGTGTTGGCGATTTTTTCCATCATCGGTTTGTACCAGTGGGACTGTTTGTGCTCTTTGGAATGAGCTGGTCTACTGGAGGAGTCTGATAGTGTCCCACTGCATCGCTGCTTCAGTGAACCTGGGGTCTTGAGCTCCTACCACGTCTCTCAAACGTTTGGGGACAATCTTCTTGACTAATCCATTGGAAGCCAAACTCGAAGACAGGAAAGCAGGTAAAGCTACCTGCGTTGCTTTGTGCACCTCTAGTGACAGGTTCAATGCCTTCTTAACCCTTCAAGGGTTGACAGGCCCTCTCCCAGACTTGTTCTCAGGGTCAACAAATTTTCAAAAAAAAAAAAAACTTATGAAAAGATAGACAATCTTTTCCTGATCATAACGTCACCAAAAGTATGAAATTTGATGGAAAACTTACGGAATTATGCTCTCGCGAAGTTAGCGGTCTCGACGATGTTTACGCATTGGCGATTTTGCCCACTTTGAGAACTATTTTTGGCCAATTCCAGTGTACCAGTCGACAAAAATCATAACTATTTCGCTAGAACTCCATTTTTTCTATCAAATGAGTACAAGAAACCACCCATTTACCGATTTCACGGTATTGTGCCTTTTTTGTTATTTAGTTATTCAACTATCCAATAAAGTGGTCAGAATTTAGCAATTTTGCCAATTTCACACAAATTTCAAAAGATGCCAATTTCCAAATAAGGTCCAGAATAAACAAGAAAGACATTCCTGGCACTAAAATAACATTTCCTCTGTTCATTAGTCATGTCCCCATGCCCCTCTTACATTCTTTTGCTTTCCACTTTGAATTTTTATTCTCACAGAAAATAGAAGATTTACTGTTATGCAGACTACGCATTAGTGTAGAAATGGTATAAATAATATCAGCGCGCTTGTGAAAGAATATTAGACTCACCAGTTGACATGTATTGGATGCGTAGCATGATTTGTTTACTTTTAAACTTTGGCAAAAATAGAAGATTTCTGCTACTTTGCAGCTCAATTTCAAGGTACTTTTCATTGTAAAACCAATCAAAATCATCTCAATTTCCATAATATGTCTTCCATTCTATAAAATGAGACCAGGAAAGCTAGAATACCATCATAAATACCATACGAAAATACAGTGCAAAGTCGGTTTTAAACCAAAAACAGTCAAAGTTTTTTTTCTCATTACGCACTGTGTGCTGTGCAGGACTTTTTTTATACTGTGCACACTGACCACATAGACCCATTCTTTCATATGGCCTACCAGCTTTCTCTCACTAGATCTGAGGGCGCTAGAATTTAGGTGTACTAGTACGTCAAAAACCCTGGTGCGTAAGCCGTACTAGTACGTCAGAAACCTTGAAAGGGTTAAAGGTTGATCTCAGGTGTGCATCATATTTGTCGAGTGTTGGGTTCTCAAAAGAGGGTGCGCACCTCAGGAAGTGAGCGAGTCTTGGCATAGTAAGACACCTTGTGAGGAGACACAGCATCATGGGCATCAAGATCGCTTATTCTCTCCTCCATTCTCTTCAGGTCATTCAATTTGTCCTTGAGGACAGTGTCGATGGCCTGGTGACTCAATGGTGCTCCCAAGAGGGTACTGTTGGACAGATGGTAGTAGAGACTTCCAGGAGGATTCTTCACACAGCGTTGATTATTTCCTGGTTTGTTGTGATGATTTCACACCTGGAGGGATTGAGGATTAGTCCCAAGGCTCCTCCCTGTGTCTTCACCAGTTGTAGGTCCTCTAACAGGGACTCTTCAGTGCCAGCTACAATGCCATCATCCAGGTACCAGATGTTGAGCTCGCTGCCTAGCAGAAGAGAAGTGGAGCGAATGGGTCACCCTGCTGAACATCTTCTGATGAGAGAATTTCATGTTCTCCAAACAAAAGAATTGAGAGTTTGCTGTAGCCGGTTGAAATGAAGGGAAAAAGACTGGGGAACCAATCCCGAATGGCCGGCAAGACCACATCTCTCTTCACCATATTAAAGGCATTTCTAAAATCAAATTTGACTATGGCCTTGTCTTCTGGTAGATCCCCAATGTTGCCCCTTGCCGCATGAGCTGCGGCTTCACTGCCTTGAGACCCCCCAAAGCCCAGTTGGTGTGGCTGGAGTAAACTGGCAGCTTCTAGGCGAATGTTTCTTACTGCTGCTTTGGCAACGAGACGGCGAAGTGTGTTACCAACAGCAATGGGTCTGATTCCCCCATCCTTCTTCAAAGCACATAGTGAGGTTCCAAAAATGAAAGGTTTAATTTCTTCTGGGATTCGCCCAGCCAGGCAGTTGTTGACGAAAGTTGTTAACTCGGTGAGAAGAATTTATGCAGATGTGCCGAGTACTGGATAATACCACCTCTTTGGGGTGTTGAGGTCGAATTCCAGTGTAACCGCGTGCAGATCCTGCTGGAAATGACACTATCGCCTTATAGACTTCTGATTCTGGCAAAATTAACTGTTCAGTGATGGGGTCCCCCTCAGGGTTGTTGTTGACGGCTATGGTGTGCCTGGTTGGATGCTTGTCTCTTAGTGCTTGGGCTGTGGTCTCATCTTTGGAGCTACAGTGTTGTCACTTGTGATTATTCTGTTTGCTCCCATTGTGTTACCTTCTTCGATTTTTTTGCTAACTTGCGCGCAAATTTTCTTGTTTTCAGTGAAATTTTTCTTGGGTCTACCCCTGTGATTCCTACGATGACGGGGCAGAGAGGGACAATTATCCGTTCTTGGGTGGTTGCGAACTGCCTTGATGACTGATGTGGCTAGCAGTTTGCTAGTCTTTCAGGAACTGCAAGACAGACATTGCCGAACAGGAGTAGGTTGTGCCATGTTTTGATGGTGCCTCGGACTTCTAAGTTGGTGGAACCTCCATTCACCTGCTTAAGAAGGTCTGTGAATTTCCCTGCTGCATATGGGCAAGCCACTATAGGAATGTGGGATAGGGTACTGCTAGCAGTGGATTTGAATGCCAGCAGAAGGTTTTCACAAGTGAGGAGGTTGCCATTGGAATTGGCCTCTGCCTGTGGAGGCTGTGGGCTGCTCTCTGCTGGGGGCCTATGTGATCCAGCACACCCATTGTGTGCACGAATAAGGCCATCCCTGTTGCGTGCTCGAAACTCTCCACACACCTGACATGTGCCTCTTCTTTCATTGTTGGGTGCACTGTTTCCCTGGCTTTGTGGCTGGCTGGCTTAATCATCTGCCGTACCTCAAACTGTGTGATAAGCCCAGGCTGAAGGGAAAATGGCACACTTCACATATCCCATGCGGTTCATGGTGGTGGTGGGGGGAGGAGAGGCATCTCCCGTCCTTATGGTGGGCAGTGGAGGAGAGGAAGGCGTGGAAGACATGTGATGAGGCAGAGTAGGGCACTCACTCCCTCCCACAACACGTTACTATACCCCACTATGCTCTGTGCACAGCCCCCCACTATAAATGACACACCACTATACACTACGCATGCTATGCACATACCATGCGCATGCTGAACACGTACTATGCACTATACACTATATACACTATAAGCACGTGAACAAACACTCCATTATCGTAACAAGCACACGGCGTATGCGTGCTCAAAGGGTGTATAAATCTGTAGTGTAGGGAAGGAGGGGTAGGGGTAGTCCTAGGAAAGGATGGAGGGATGGGGTACAAGAGGTTTTGTGTGCAAGGGGTCTGGACATACAGCTCACATGTGTGAGCGTATTAGATAGGAGTGAATGGAGATGAATGGTTTTTGGACCTGACAAGCTGTTGGAGTGTGAGCAGTGTGTGAAGGGATTCAGGGTAACTGTTTAGCCATATTGAGTCCTGGAGGTGGGAAGTACAATGCCTGCATTTTAAAGGAGGGGTTTGGGATATTTGCTGTTCAGACTGACATCTTAACTGCCTCGGTGGGAGACGGCCGACTTGTTGAAAAAAAAAAAAAAAAAATCTGAGCGACTCTGCAAAAACAGTGATAATATATGAATTATGGTGCAAGTATTTCTTTCTTTTTTGGGTCATCCTGCCTTGGTGGGAGACAGCCTAAGTGTTAAAAAAAAATGCTTTTTTACTAGGTTAATGCTAATAGATATATTATATTTAAATCACTAACTGTACACTGTAAGGTCTTAAATATAAAATAAGGATTAGTGCAGCATTGGGATTGTGATATGTATAACTAAGGACAACCCTAAAATGTGATGTACAGGCTCACATCTAGACACTATTAAATTTAGTGGGAAACACTAAACCCATAGGGGTCATACAGTGCCTGGGTTCAATCTAAGGAGTGGACAGATCCATATCCCTCACTGGCATAAGGAATCTCCCTGGAGAAATTACTCCTAGACAAACACAAAGAAGCCCAAAAAGCCAAGACTTGCAACTAGTCATGCCTGGATCCCAGGAACACCAGCTATTAAAAATAGACTAAGTCTGAACCACATGTCACTGGAAGAGAAACATTTAAGATACAAGAGGATCCCCCATATCTGCAGTTTACTGTGGCCTCAAAATAACCCTTAGTTTTGCTTAATAATGGCCTCAAAGTGCAAAAGCAGTGATGGTGGAAGTTCTTCAAAGCTTAAGAGAAGCCGTTAAGTGCTTCCCCATCAGTGAAAAAGTGATAATTCTTGACTTCTTGTGTGTAATTTATCAATTAAACTTTATACGTAATTGGTGTGTACGTAAATGAAAAACGACATATACAGGGTACACTACTATCCATAGTTTCGGCATCCATGGTAGGTCCTTGGAACGTATCCCCCCGTGGATACAGGGGTCCTACAGGCTAAACAAAAGTAAATTTTAAATAGGGAGCAGACCCAAACACAAGTTGAACACACACAGCATCATGCTTCAAAGTGAAATGGGCTAGGTAAACAGGTAATGAAGCCAAACACCATTTGTGGATTTAAAAGTAGATACACAAGTGCCTGAAAGTTAAAATTAAGCTACACCCTCTACAGTTTTTTTAAACACACACAAACTTCCTTTCCCTTACCTCAGAGTAGACTGATACAAGCCTCTCTCTGTATGCAGCCTCTAGTTGAAGAGCCACATTTTCCCGTTTGGCATCAAACAGCATTTTCTCACCCTGTGCACACCACTGTGCTTCCTTTTCCTTCTCAATAGAAGTCTTCATATTTGCAATACTGCCTTCACGGTAGTTCACCCAACTGCTTTCAATTTCCTGAATGCAATGCAGTACTCTATTATATATCACAAAAAATATTTAGCAATGAGATATATGGGGTTGGGGAAGAATTTTGCATATTAGATATACATTGCTTATATTAGCAGGGAATCAATACGTACTGTAGATAATCTATATCAGCTGGTAGTAATCAAAGGAGATCACCCTGTCTTCTAGTTAAATATTTTTCACTACACATGCATATTCAAGTCATATCAATGAGAACATTTGCTGGAAAGTATACTTATTTTCATAAATACAACATTTAGACAGAACAGCCTCTCCTCACTTAACGACGGAGTTCCGTTCCTAAGACCACATTGGTAAATGAATTCGTCACTAAACAAGGAGCATACTATAATGGTAGTGGGTTTGTCTCAACCATCTTTGATATTATTTTAATGTCACCATTGCACTATTTATAACATTTTTAGTATACAAATGTTTATACAGTAGTGTACTGCAGAACAGAGGAAATCAGCTCTAATATACATATCATACTCTTAATATGTATAATGATCAGAGAGCCCGTCATAAGTCCGAGTCATCAGTAAATGAGTACGTCGCAAAGTGAAGAGAGGCTGTATTAGGAATTGTTGTATTATAGAGAATTATTCTTAGGTATTCTGACACTTCTTGCACTACCAGTATTCTCAAAATACAAATAACAAATGTCTCATCCCAACAAATCTTAATTAACTTTAACTATAAAATGTATACACTATTAAAATAGTGCATACATTTTTTAATTACCATATTGTAACAACTCACTGAAGACATTTTTAGCTCAACAAAAAATTTTTAGTACAATATTTTTCAACTTGTAAAATTATAATCACTCAACACATTTTAGTCTCATTAACCCTTAAACTGTCCAAACACAGATCTACGTTTTCACTGCCAGCACTCCGAAAATTTTTGAAAAAAAAAAAAAAATAAATAAATAAATAAATAAATAAATAAATTAGAGGGCAATTTTCTGTGTTGTAAGACAAAAGAAAATTTGGGACCAGTACTCACCGAGATATAAGACCGCGACGTTGGTGCTAGATGCTCACCTGATGGCAACATCGAGTCCTGCCGCTTGCAGAAGTGCTGCCGATATACCTTTTTTCTCGTTTTTATTTTAATTTATAAATTTTTTATGTTCTGATAATTACAATTTATAACAGTTCTTGCGATTTCATAGCCAATCTTTGTTCTGACACTAATATTACGTAATGAAATAGCAGTGGAGTGACACAATGATAGTGCACTGCTGCGGGAAACCCTGGCTTTATTTGTTTTCACTGTTACACACAAACATGTATGTCTGTCTGTCTAGCTCTGCTTTTATACCTGTCTGCCTGTGTGTGTCTTTCTGTGTGTGTGTGTGTGTGTGTGTGTGTGTGTGTGTGTGTGTGTGTGTGTGTGTGTGTGTGTGTGTGTTCTCTGCCTGTGTGTGTGTCTGTCTTTGTCTGCCTGCCTGTGTGTGTGTGTGTGTGTGTTTTTCTTCTGCCTGTGTGTGTTTTTTCTGTCTGTGTGTGTGTGTGTTTTTGTCTGCCTGTGTGTGTGTGTGTGTGTGTGTGTGTGTGTGTGTGTGTGTGTGTGTCTCTGCCTGTGTGTGTGTCTGTCTTTGTCTGCCTGCCTGGTGTGTGTGTGTGTGTGTGTGTGTGTGTGTGTGATGTGTGTTTTTTTGTCTGCCTGTGTGTGTGTTTTTCTGTCTGCCTGTGTGATGTCTCTTTCTGTCTGCCTTGTGTGTGTTTTTCTGTCTGCCTGTGTGTGTGTGTTTCTGTCTGCCTGTGTGTGTGTGTGTGGTTTTTGTCTGCCTGTGTGTGTGTTTTTCTGTCTGCCTGTGTGTGTGTGTTTTTCTGTCTGCCTGAGTGTGTGTGTGTGTGTGTGTGTTTTTCTGTCTGCCTGTGTGTGTGTTTTTCTGTCTGCCTGTGTGTGTCTTACTGTCTGCCTGTGTGTGTGTTTGTCTGCCTGTGTGTGTGTTTGTCTGTGCCTGTGTGTGTGTGTTTTTCTGTCTGCCTGTGTGTGTGTTTTTCTGTCTGCTTGTCTCTGTCTCAGAGAGCGGCTCGTAAACCAACAGGTATAACACACAATGACTACACAGTAGTCACGTCTGATTCCTGATAAAATGAAAATGCGTATTACTTGCCACTAAGTTGCCAGTCATGCTTATTATGTCTTATATCTACAAGCACTGTATAGCACTTTGCCTGGAATTTTTGGGTTATCCTAGGTAATTTACACTATGTATAATAACTGTCCTTACGTGTACATGTGAGAGAGAGAGATATATACAGATAGATATATAGACAGAGACAAGTCAGACAGCCAAAGCCAGCCAGCCTGTCAAATATGTATAACACGTTCCAGAATTGTTTCTCTTTACTTACGGCATAGGTTATAGGACATTCTGGCAGGATGACACTACCAGTGGTATAAAAAATCAAAGGATGTTGCACAAATCTTACACATGGGTTCTTATCGAGGTTTTCGATATTTCCCCAACCACTTGTGGCCACATCTATCACTTTCCTCTTAAAAGGGGTGTTAATACATGACATGACATCAGTGAATCCCTGTGTTAGTCATGCTATTTGCTTTCGCTGGTGCTCAGTTGAACTGGTGCTCCCACAAGGTACTAAGTGGTTCCAGATTTTTTTAATACTGTGCACACTGAGTGTTAAGACCCATTCTATACAGACCAGGCATCTCAGGCCAATCATGCCAAATTTGGAGACAGGTAAAATAAAACGTAGATCTACGTTAGGAGCGCTAGTGGTACAAACGTAGATCTACTTTGGACAGTTTAAGGGTTAAATAAGAAATACACCTACCATCCGACTTACGACCTGCTCGACATACGTCCAGTCGACTTACAACCATGTGTCTGGCATGTCTGGGCATGTCCTTTATGCAGTAGCAATTGTGTGATGTGGAAAAATTCACTTATGTACAGTTCAGGATATTTAGTAAAGAAAACGTTTCGCCATGAGTGGCTTCTTCTGTCCTAATATTGAAGAAGCCACTCGTACTAATACTGAAGAAGCCACTCGTACTAATACTGAAGAAGCCACTCGTACTAATACTGAAGAAGCCACTCGTACTAATACTGAAGAAGCCACTCGTACTAATACTGAAGAAGCCACTCGTACTAATACTGAAGAAGCCACTCGTACTAATACTGAAGAAGCCACTCGTACTAATACTGAAGAAGCCACTCCGTACTAATACTGAAGAAGCCACTCGTACTAATACTGAAGAAGCCACTCGTACTAATACTGAAGAAGCCACAATACTAACAGTACAAAAAGCAAAGTAAAACCTTGGGTAGTTTCAAATTTAGGTTGGATAAATACACGAGTGAGAGGGGTTGGATTTGAGTGGGACTTGCACGTTAGTAAATAAAATTATCAAACCTCATTGTTTGGGTAGTGTTGAAGGTGGGTTGGACAAATGTTCTGTTAGTGGAATGTATTTGTGAAGGACCTGCCTGTATAGGCCATTAGGCCTGCTGCAGTGTTCCTCCTTTCTTATGTTCTTATTAATGCTGAAGAGTCCAATGACAAGCTACCTTTTCTATAAGGGACACTGAAATATGCCTTCTCAAATCCATCTATATACATTTGCCCAACCTGTTTTTTATGCTACCCAAGCTATAGCTTTTGTAACCTACCTTTCTCTTGTACCTGCTGACATTTCCACATGTATAACTAATACTACTATTACCCAGTACGTCGGTAATCTTCTAAGGTTCGACTCGCATCCATTTTGACTTACGACTAGTTGGTCGGAACCAAGCTCAGTCGTAAGTCGGATGGTAGGTGTATAAATAACTTGCAAATACTGCCATCTAAACCACTCTACAAAGAGCCAATGTCACACATTACAACAGGTTTTACTCATTTTTTGTATTACACCCTGACGTAAATTGACTTGTAGGCTGCAAACAAGCCACTAGTCTTGGCTGATAATGTAGTTAAAAAAAGCTTGACCTAGGTTGATGCCCAGAAAGAAGAATCTAAGACAATCAGTAGGCCATACCACTGTTTAAGTAATTACAAACCTCAATTTCTTTGTCCAAATATTTTGCAAGGGGAGGCCCAAATTTCTTAACAGAATACACCATCATCAGCAATATGGAAAGGCCAGTATAGTACTCATGCTCCATGACATATATTTCCTTAGAGCACAAGAACGTTGCCAGTCCTACACCAAGCACATAAGGACCTGTTGAAATAAGACATTTTTAAAAACATATCAAGTATTATTAATAATGTCAAATGAACTATGATTTACCCAACATCGGCTATTGCAATAAAAAGGCTAAGCAAACTAACAAACCACAAATTGTGGAGTTTTTAGAAGAAACCAAAATGATTAGCATGATCAGACAAACAGTTTATAATTCTAAAAACTTTTTAAAGTAAACCAAATCAATTAACCCTTTCAGGGTTGGTGCCGTAACAGTATGCATAAATTCTAGCACCTTCAAATCTAGTGAAAGCTGGTAGGCCTACATATAAAAGAATGGGTCTATGTGGTCAGTGTGTGCAGTATAAAAAAAATTCCTGCAGCACACAGTGCATAATGAGAAAAAAAAAAGAACTCCGACTGTGTTTATGGTTTTAAACAGCAACTTTGCAGTGTATTTAGGTAAGCTATTTATGGTTGTATTCTAGTTTTCCTGGTCTCATTTTATAGAATGGAAGACATGTTATGGAAATTGAGATGATTTTGATTGATTTCACAATGAAAAGTACATTGAAATTGAGCTCAAAGTAGCAGAAATGTTCGATTTTCCCAAAGTTCAAAGGTAAACAAATCATGCCAAGCGTCCAATACACGTCAACTGGTGAGTGTAATATTCTTTCACAAGTGCCCTGATATTATTTATACCATTTCTACGCCATTTCTACACGAATACAGTAGTCTGCATAACATAAATCTTCTATTTTTTGTGAGAATAAAAATTCAAAGTGGAATGCAAAAGAAATGTAACAGAGGCCTGAGGACATGAGTAATGAACAGAGAAAATGTTATTTTAGTGCCAGAAATGTCTGTCTTATTTATTCTGGACCCTATTTGGAAATTGGCATCTTTTGAAATTTGTGTGAAATTGGCAAAATTGCCAATTTCTGACCACATTATTGGATAGTGGAAATCGGTAAATGAGTGGTTTCTTGTACTCATTCGATAGAAAAATTGGAGTTCTAGCGAAATAGGTATGATTTTTGTCGACTGGTACATTGGAATTGGCCGAAAATAGGGCTCAAAGTGGGCGAAATTGCTGATGCGTAAACATCGTCGAGACCGCTAACTTCGCAAGAGCATAACTCCGTAAGTTTTTCATCAAATTTCATACTTTTGGTGTCATTATGATCGGGAAAGGATTCTCTATCATTTCATAAGAAAAAATAATTATTTTTTTCCTCGAAAAATTTCCGACCTTGAGAACAAGTTTAGGTGAGGCCCTGATGACCCTGAAAGGGTTAAGTGTGAATAAATAAAATAATAGCCCAAGGTGCAACATGTGAGGGAGGGTTATGGAAAGAATGAACAAAGCTGCTGCACTTCATCCAATGATAAATAATGGATATGGCCAAGCAGCCATTCAGAGAAGCCAACAATTAAAGAATCTACAGTTCTTCACAATCTCTCATAAACAAATAAGAGTACAACACACATGCACAACATGAACATAGAGAAAATATCAATGCACAGGGTGATTAAATAATGTAGAAAAACAGTATATTTTTCTGTCAAGCACTCCAAAACAAATTCTCCATACATGCATAAAATGATCATACATGATGAAAATTCAGATGGTTAAAAAAAAATTACAAAAACCATACTAGTAAATACAAAAATGCAATATGTAGAGCATGTTTAAAATACTGCAAATACATCACATTATTTGCAAAAGCTATATTGCATGTATTTTAAATACAGAATTATTTAATCAAATACAATACTGTTATCAAAAATTACTATAGTAAACACTCAATAAAATGGACTACAAAAGGGACAAAAATTTGCTTGGTCAATTAGTTTGGAATACCAGACAATGTTACTTATAGAATTAAAGAACAAAAACGGCACAATACCGTGACTGGAACAATACACACTTAACCTGCACATAGGAGATAAGAGCTTATGACAACATTTCAGTCTGACTTGGACTATTTGAAGAGTCACAACAGTGACTGTGAATGGTCCAAGTCAGACTGAAATGTCGTGGCAAGCTCCTCTTCTCCTATGTGAGGGGTTGTTTGTGTATTACTTACAGAGTTGTCTGTTAAGCGTTACTATTTATCTACCTGGAGGGTATTCCAGGGATCAACACCCCCATGGCCCGGTCCATGACCAGGCCTGATCAACAAGGCCATTACTCCCCTAGCCACAAAAAAATCTCCCCCATTAGTCTGTTATATGACAAAATAACTGTTATTTTCAAGAGTAATGTTACATGGTGTGCAAGCAGGTACAAAAAAAAAAAAAATAGTACACTTCTTGAATTCAAATACGTATTAGAAGCTAGACTAAAATTATTAATTATACACAAAGGTCTCGCTGATACAGTAGGTTAGGTTCCTGGCTATCACTAAGGCAAAAATCACTGTAAAGTGAAACACAGCCTTTTTTTTTTACTTTCAAATGCACATCAAAGTCTGATAACGTGTTTACACTATCATATATTAACCCTTTGACTGTTTTGGTCGTATATATATATATATAAAAAAAAAAATACGTCTTACGAGCCAGTGTTTCGGATGTACAGTGGACCCTCAACCAGCGATATTAATCCGTTCCTGAGAGCTCATCGTTAATCAAAATAATTGTTAGTCAAGTTAATTTTCCCCATAAGAAATAATGGAAATCAAATTAGTCCGTGCAAGACACCCCAAAGTATTGAAAAAAAATATTTTTACCACATGAAATATTAATTTTAATACACACAAACTGAAGACATGCACAGTTACATGACACTTACCTTTATTGAAGATCTGGTGATGATCGATGGGATGGGAGGAGGGGAGACCATTGATCTTGTTAGTGTTTAGAAGGGAAATCCCCTTCCATTAGCACTTGAGGTAGCAAGTCTTTTTCTGGGGTTACTTCCCTTGTTCTTTTAATGCCACTAGGACCAGCTTCAGAGTCACTGGACTTCTGTCGCACAACATATCTGTCCATAGAGGCCTGTACCTCTCGTTCCTTTATCCTAAAGTGTTTCACAACATTGTCAGTGTAATAGTCACCAGCACGGCTTGCAATAGCTGTGTGAGGGTGATTTTCATCAAAAAAGGTTTGCAATTTAAGCCACATTGCACACATTTCCTTAATCTTTGAAGTAGGCAACTTCTTTAATTTCTCTCTCCCCTCCTCCGAAGCAGTTTCCTCAGGTGTGGCCTCTTACTGTTGAACATGCTCTAGCAGCTCATCAGTGGTTAGTTCGTCATTGTCCTCTCCACCAACTCTTCCACATCCTCCCCACTAACCTCACCAATATGAGCACTAGTTCCAGGCATTTTTTCCTGTTCACCTGGGTGTTAGTCAACTGTTGTGGGCCACATCCTAGGGGACAAGATTAAGGACCCCCAATGGAAATAAGTTAGACAGTCCTCGATGATGCACTGACTTTCTTGGGTTATCCTAGGTGGCTAACCCTCCGGGGTTAATCGTTTCTCGGTAATTGTTTCACGTTAAGCCACATCAACAACACTCTCTCCACATCTTCGAGTAATACAGCTGATGGTGGTGCAGCAACAACAACAGCTGACTGTGGTGCAGCAGCAGCTGCACCTTTGGCAAGCACAGCTTCCTTGATTGCCGTTTTCTTACCCACAATAGTAGCGATGGTTGATTGGGGTTTATTATACAACCTGACCAGCTCAGAGACACGCACTCCACTTTCATACTTAGTAATGATCTCTTTCTTTATCTCCATAGTAATTCTCACCCTTTTTGCTGTAGGGTTGGCACTAGAAGCTTTCTTGGGGCCCATGGTGACTTATTTTGCAGGTGCAATCACTACAAAGGCTGTGATAATATGAAATGTTCCAGTTGTTGTATGTTTGGAAGCGACCGCAGTGGCTGGCTGGCTTGTAAACACTGGCACCAAGGGACAAGTGAGGTGCGCTCAGGCCAAAGTGGACGCATATAGTACGGAACGAATAGCGCTGGTCGGGTTTTTAAGCGCTAGTTGAGGCAAAATTTTTGCGTTAAAATGTATCGCTAGTCAGATTTATCGTTAATCGATGCCATCGCTGGTTGAGGGTCCACTGTATTAATAAGCATAAATTCTAGCGGCTTCAAATCAAGCAGGAGAAAGCTGGTAGGCCCACATGTGAGAGAATGGGTCTGTGTGGTCAGTGTGCACCATATAAAAAAAATCATGCAGCACGCAGTGCATAATGAGAAAAAAAAACTGACCGTTTTTTTGGATTAAAACGCCGGCTGTGAGGTGTACTTTCGTACAGTATTTATCATTGTATTCTCGTTTTCATGGTCTCAAGTGATAAAATGGAAAACATATTATAGAAATAGAGATGATTTTCATTAGTTTCACAATGAAAACGACCTTGAAATTGAGCTCAAAGTAGCGGAAATGTTAGATTTTTACCAACGTTCAAGAGCAAGCAAATCACGCCACACGTCCAAGACATGTCAACTGGGGAGTCTAATATTCTTTCACTAGTGTACTGATATTATTTATACCATTTTTACAATAATGCAGTAGTCTGCATAACAGTAAATTTTGTATTTTTTGTATGAATAAAAAATCAAAATGGAAAGCAATAGTAATATAAGAGGGGCCTAGAGACGTGACTAATGAACAGAGGATATGTTATTTTAGTGCCAAGAAAGTCTACACTGTTTATTCTGGACCTTATTTTGAAATTGGCATCTTTTTTAACTTGCAAGAAATTGGTCAAATTGCCAATTTCTGACCACTTTATTAGTAAATAAGCAGTTTCTTGTACTCAACTGATAGAAAAAATAGTTTTCTAAAGAAATAGCTATGAGTTTGGTCAACTGGAACAACGGAATTGGCCAAAAACAGGGCTCAAAGTCGGTGAAATCACCGATGCGCACATGTCGCCGAGACCGCTAACTTCACGGGAGCGTAATTCTGTGTGTTTTCGACCAAATTTGGCACTTTTGGTGTCATTACCATTGGGAAAAGATTCTCTCTCATTTCATAAGAAAAAAAAAAATTTCAAAAAATTTTGACATAGAATGAGTTTCAGAAAGGGGCTTGCGACAGTCAAAGGGTTGAGTAATAGAGCCTGGCATAAAAAATGCATATGAAGTACACACATTACTTACCTTAAAATATTTTCATCCTCAGCTTATAGAGTGGTGAATATATATATATTGTAGGAAGTCGAAATAAATGAAGAACGGGTATAATTGAAAACTACTGTATTAGCTTTACAGCAAAACACTACAAAGCGGGGCCCTCCTGTAATTCACAACTGGAGATGTACAAGGCATATTATGTACTGCAGTTATCCCCTTGAATACATATTAACAGTACGTATAACTAAACTACTACAGTCATATTTATAAACAATATACAGTGGACCCCCGCATACCGCACGCATCGCATACCATACAATCCGCATACCGCTCGCTTTTTTCGCAAAAATTTTGCCTCGCATACCGCCCAAAAACCCGCTCACCGCTCTTCGTCCGAGACGCGTCCAATGTGCGGCCTGAGCCACGCTCACATGTTCCGCCGGTGGCATTGTTTACCAGCCAGCCTCCGCGGTAACATCCAAGCATACAATCGGAACATTTCGTATTATTACAGTGTTTTTGGTGATTTTTTCTGGAAAATAAGTGACCATGGGCCCCAAGAAAGCTTCTAGTACCAACCCTACAGCAATAAGGGTGAGAATTACTATAGAGATGAAGAAAAAGATCATTGATAAGTATGAAAGTGGAGTGCGTGTCTCCGAGCTGGCCAGGTTGTATAATAAACCCCAATCAACCATCGCTACTATTGGTGGTACAGCTGCTGATGCTGCTGTACCACCGTCAGCTGCTTCTGCACTGTCAGCTGCTGCTGCACTGTCAGCTGCTGCTGTTGTACCACCGTCAGCTGCTGCTGCTGCTGCTGTAGTACCGTCTGCTGCTGCTGTAGCATCGTCTGCTGCTGCTGCTGTAGCATCGTCTGCTGCTGCTGTAGCATCGTCTGCTGCTGCTGTAGCATCGTCTGCTGCTGCTGTAGCATCGTCTGCTGCTGCTGTAGCATCGTCTGCTGCTGCTGTAGCATCGTCTGTTGCTGCTGTAGCATCGTCTGTTGCTGCTGTAGCATCGTCTGCTGCTGCTGTAGCATCGTCTGCTGCTGCTGTAGCATCGTCTGCTGCTGCTGTAGCATCGTCTGTTGCTGCTGTAGCATTGTCTGTTGCTGTTGTACCACCGTCAGCTGCTGCTGTAGCACCGTTGTTGGTGTGGCTTATTGAGAATACCAAGGAACAATTAACCCCAGAGGATTTGCCACCCAGGATAACCCAAAAAAGTCAGTGTCATCGAAGACTGTCTAACTTATTTCCATTGGGGTCCTTAATCTTGTCTCCCAGGATGCAACCCACACCAGTCGACTAACACCCAGGTGAACAGGGAAAAATGCCTGGAACTAGTGCTCATATTGGTGAATTTAAAGCCAGCAAAGGTTGGTTTGAGAGATTTAAGAATCGTAGTGGCATACACAGTGTGATAAGGCCTGTTCTGGAAGAAAATGCCAAACAGGACCTACAGTACTGAGGAGGAAAAGGCACTACTAGGACACAGTGTCTCATCAGTCATTGCTGCATCTTCAATAAAGGTAAGTGTCATTTATTCTTCATTTAGTAGAGTAGTACATGCACAATATATATTGTGCATGTACTACTCTACTATTGTGCATGTATCCTTCTCTTTGTGTGTAGGAAAATGTATATTTCATGTGGTAAAATTTTTTTTTTCATACTTTTGGGTGTCTTGCACGGATTAATTTGATTTCCATTATTTCTTATGGGGAAAATTCATATGCATACCGAACATTTCGCATAACAACCAGCCCTCTTGTACGGATTAAAGTCGCTATGCGGGGGTCCACTGTATAAAATTTATTCTCTATGGGGAAGTGGAAGAGAATTCTTCCTCTGTAAGCCATGTGTGTTGTAAGAGGTGACTAAAATGCAGGGAGCAAGGGGCTAGTAACCCCTTCTCCTGTATATATTACTAAATGTAAAAGGAGAAACTTTCGTTTCTCCTTTTGGCCACCCCGCCTCGGTGGGATACGGCCGGTGTGTTGAAAGATGAAGATGTAAAATTTATATAAGTAGTACTAAGACTAGCTAATATAAAGATAATACACAATACAAACATGTTTAACTTTGCATTAAGATTTTATAGTAAATTACTACAAATAAGATAAATACTACTGAAATAAACAAATGCATGCAAACACAGTAATACAAAAATTTATATTCAATTTCTCATACAGTAATGCTGAAGATTATGATACATTAATACAAATCAGTCCAGTAAACCTACCAGTAACACCTGTCTTGGGATACAGGAACTGAAACCATTCTTCTGGAATGAAGCCCATTCGTACTTTACCGGGCTCAATGGGTCGAACCCGTCGAGGAAAATTGACCTCGTCCCGTTCCTCGGTTTTGTCTACAGCTGCAGCTGTACTTGTGGGACGAACTGCCACCAAGATGGGCCGCAGCTCCTGCACTGTAAGATAAAGAAGTGTTTGTTAAAAATTGTTGGAAGCACTAAGCACATAGGGACCATTCAACACTGGGGAAATTAGAAGTAATTACAGTAAAATCTCAATTTAACGGAACCTTATTTACAACTTTTTAGAAATTAAGAAACCCGATGGAAATAAGTCACTGGACTTTTTAATGGGTTATTCTAGATAATTTACACACGTTACTATGTATGACAATTTGTGTAACTGTATTTATGTGCACCTGTACCTAAATCAACTTAATGGACAAACACTTCTGGCCAGACATTCGGAAACACTGGACAAAGGCAATTAGCTAAATTCAGAATTTTCTCTTATGAACTCTTAAAAATATTCCCATAAATTAGATTTAAAGGACAATGGGCTTTAATGTTAAATTGAACTCCCTGGATCAAGAGCCCTTTACCATAAGGGAAGTCACAGCTATAACTGAACATAACTGAGGCAGTATAAAAATAGAGATGCATATATTAATAAACACACAGTGACCTACAGAACAAAATGAGGAAATATGTCTAATGCTGACTGGGGAAATATCCAGACCAACTAAGAGGAGGATATATCCATCCAGACCAACTAAGAGGAGGATATATCCATCCAGACCAACTGAGAGGAGGATATATCCATCCAGACCAACTGAGAGGAGGATATATCCATCCAGACCAACTGAGAGGAGAATATATCCATCCAAACCAACTAAGAGGAGGATATATCCATCCAGACCAACTAAGAGGAGGATATATCCATCCAGACCAAATGAGAGGAGGATACATCCATCCAGACCAACTAAGAGGAGGATATATCCATCCAGACCAACTGAGAGGAGAATATATCCATCCAGACCAACTAAGAGGAGGATATATCCATCCAGACCAACTAAGAGGAGGATATATCCATCCAGACCAACTGAGAGGAGAATATATCCATCCAGACCAACTAAGAGGAGGATATATCCATCCAGACAAACTGAGAGGAGGATATATCCATCCAGACCAACTAAGAGGAGGATATATCCATCCAGACCAACTAAGAGGAGGATATATCCATCCAGACCAACTGAGAGGAGAAAAATATCCATCCAGACCAACTAAGAGGAGGATATATCCATCCAGACCAACTAAGAGGAGGATATATCCATCCAGACCAACTAAGAGGAGGATATATCCATCCAGACCAACTAAGAGGAGGATATATCCATCCAGACCAACTGAGAGGAGGATATATCCATCCAGACCAACTAAGAGGAGGATATATCCATCCAGACCAACTGAGAGGAGAATATATCCATCCAGACCAACTAAGAGGAGGATATATCCATCCAGACCAACCGAGAGGAGGATATATCCATCCAAACCAACTGAGAGGAGGATATATCCATCAAAACCAACTGAGGAAAATATATCCATCCAGACCAACAGAGAGGATATATCCATCCAAACCAACTGAGAGGAGGATATATCCATCCAAACCAACTGAGAGGAGGATATATCCATCCAAACCAACTGAGAGGAGGATATATCCATCCAAACCAACTGAGAGGAGGATATATCCATCCAAACCAACTGAGGAAAATACATCCATCCAGACCAACTGAGAGGATATATCCATCCAGACCAACTGAGGAGGATATATCCATCCAAACCAACCGAGGAAAATATATCCATCCAGACCAACTGAGAGGATATATCCATCCAAACCAACTGAGGAAAATATATCCATCCAGACCAACTGAGAGGATATATCCATCCAGACCAACTGAGAGGAGGATATATCCATCCAAACCAACTGAGAGGAGGATATATCCATCCAGACCAACTAAGAGGAGGATATATCCACCCAAACCAACTGAGAGGAGGATATATCCATCCAAACCAACTGAGGAAAATATATCCATCCAGACCAACTGAGAGGAGACATCCATCCAGACCAACTAAGAGGAGGATATATCCATCCAAGACCCAACAGGGGGAGAATATATCCATCCAACCAACTAAGAGGAGGATATATCCATCCAGACCAAACTGGGGAGGAGGATATATCCATCCAGACCAACTAAGAGGAGGATATATCCATCCAGACCAACTGAGAGGAGAATATATCCATCCAGACCAACTAAGAGGAGGATATATCCATCCAACCACTAAGAGGGAAAATCCATCCAGACCAAGTGAGAAGGATATTCCATCCAAACCAACTGAGAGGAGGATATATCCATCCAAACTGAGGAAAATATATCCATCCAGACCAACTGAGAGGATATATCCATCCAGACCAACTGAGAGGAGGATATATCCATCCAAACCAACTGAGAGGAGGATATATCCATCCAAACCAACTGAGAGGAGGATATATCCATCCAAACCAACTGAGAGGAGGATATATTCCAACAAAAGAGAAAAATAAACCATCCAGACCAACTGAGAGGATATATCCACCAGACCAACGAGAGGAGGATATATCCATCCAACCAACTGAGAGGAGGATATATCCATCCAAACCAACTGAGGAATATATTTCCATCCAAACCAACTGAGAGGAGGATATATCCATCCAGACCGAGAGAAGGATACATCCATCCAGACCAACTGGGAGGAGGATATATCCATCAAGACCAACTGAGAGGAGGATATATCCATCCAGACCAACTGAGAGGAGGATATATCCATCCAGACCAACTGAGAGGAGGATATATCCATCCAGACCAACTGAGGAAAATATATCCATCCAAACCAACTGAGGAAAATATATCCATCCAGACCAACTGAGGAAAATATATCCATCCAGACCAACTGAGAGGATATATCCATCCAAACCAACTGAGAGGAGGATATATCCATCCAAACCAACTGAGAGGAGGATATATCCATCCAAACCCAAACCCAGAGGATTTTAAACCATCCAAACCAACTGAGAAGGGGGATATATCCCTCCAAACCAACCGAGAAGTGGATATATCCATCCAAACCAACTGAAGAAAATATATCCATCCAGACCAACTGAGAGGATATATCCATCCAGACCGAGAGAAGGATACATCCATCCAGACCAACTGGGAGGAGGATATATCCATCAAGACCAACTGAGAGGAGGATATATCCATCCAGACCAACTGAGAGGAGGATATATCCATCCAGACCAACTGAGAGGAGGATATATCCATCCAGACCAACTGAGAGGATATATCCATCCAGACCAACTGAGAGGATATATCCATCCAAACCAACTGAGAGGAGGATATATCCATCCAGACCAACTGAGAGGAGGATATATCAATCCAGACCAACTGAGAGGAGGATATATCCATCCAGACCAACTGAGAGGAGGATATATCCACCCAAACCAACTGAGAGGAGGATATATCCATCCAGACCAACTGAGAGGAGGATACATTCATCCAGACCAACTGAGAGGAGGATATATCCATCCAGACCAACTGAGAGGATGATATATCCATCCAAACCAACTGAGAGGAGGATATATCCATCCAGACCAACTGAGAGGAGGATATAACCATCCAGACCAACTGAGAGAAGGATATATCCATCCAGACCAACTGAGGAGGATATATCCATCCAGATCAACTGAGAGGAGGATATATCCATCCAGACCAACTGAGAGAAGGATATATCCATCCAGACCAACTGAGAGAAGGATATATCCATCCAGACCAACCGAGAGGAGGATATATCCATCCAGACCAACTGAGAGAAAGATATATCCATCCAGACAAACTGACCGGAGAATATATCCATCCAGACCAACTGAGAGGAGGATATATCCATCCAAACCAACTGAGAGGATATACCCATCCAGGCCAAATGAGAGGATATATCCATCCAGGCCAAATGAGAGGATATATCCATCCAGACCAACTGAGAGGAGGATATATCCATCCAGACCAACTGAGAGGAGGATATATCCATCCAGACCAACTGAGAGGAGGATATATCCATCCAAACCAACTGAGAGGAGGATATATCCATCCAAACCAACTGAGACAAATACCTCCAAAACTGAGAGGAGGGAAAAAATCCATCCCGACCAAAGAGAGAAGGGAATAGCCATCCAGACCAATGAAGAAGGAAAAAATCCATCCAACCAACTGAAAAGGAAAAAATTTTCCCAAACAACAGGAAAGGGTAAAACCCCAGACCAAATGAGAGGGGGATATATCCATCCCGACCAATGAGAGAGGGTTACCATCCCGACCAATGAAGGAATTCCATCCAGACCCCAATGAAGAAGGTATATCCACCAGCCAAAGAGAGGAGATATACCATCCAGACCCAAATGAGAGGGGATATACCTCCAAACAAACGAAGGGGGTTATCCATCCAGACCAAATGAGGGAGGATACAGCCATCCCGACCAAAGAGAGGAGGGTATTCCCTCCAAACCAACTGAAGGATAATCCCCCAGACCAACTGAGAAAGGGTATATCCATCCAAAACCCAAATGAGGATATATCCATCCCGACCAATGGAAGGGGGGTTTTAAAACCCCCAGACCAACTGAGAGGGTATATCCATCCGGCCAACGAGAGGAGATATATCCATCCAAAACCCAACTGAGGGAAAAATTTTCCATCCAGACCAACAGAGGAGGATATATCCATCCAAACCAACGGGGAGGGATATATCCATCCAAACCAACTGAAAAAATATACCATCCAGACCAAATGAAGGGGGATATATCCATCCAAACCAACTGGGGAAAAATATCCCCCAGACCAACTGAGAGGGAATATCCATCCAAACCAACTGAAGAAAAAAAAAAAAAAAAAAAAAAAAAATCCACCCAACCCAAATGAGAGGAGGAATATCCACCAACCAAATTAGAAAAGGGTATATCCCTCCAGACCCAAATGAGAGGAGATATATCCACCAGACCAACGAGGGATAATACTATCCAATCAATGAAGGAGGTAATCCATCCCGAAACCAAATGAGAGGGGGATATTCCATCCAAACAAAAGAGAGGA